CTTTAAGCTTTCTTGATTAATACGATTTATAGTTCCGAAATGACCTAGTTCGCGTCGAGTGGACGTTAAACTCCACTTCTCTCTCAGATATGTTGACATATCCACTCCGAAAAATAATATTTATTATTTTTAAAAAAATTTGCCGCCCCCCCCCCCCAATTTCTAAAATGTGTCACTGGCAACTATGACCATCATTCAGTTAAATCAGTTAAATGTCACTGTTATGTCAACTTCAATTAGATGAATTGCGGTAATGTCTGGTGTTTAGAAGATAAACAATATATTTAATTTAGTAAATAGTTAATACTGAACTGGGAATAAACCAGAAATTATTGATCTGGACCTAAACCCCTCACTAAAAACATGATAAAATAACTCTACAATATAAATACCTTATATCAATATATATATACAGCAACGGCGTTAGATGAAATCAACAAAAATAAATAGAAATTAAAGGTACATTTCATCGAGCAAAATTAGGTCATATAGTCGATCATCTGGACTAATTTGTATCTGGGCTTATAATGCCAATGGTTGTAGATAAAAAATTTTTTTAACAAAATGAGGAAATTAATGGTACATTTCATCGAGCTAAATTAGGCCATATATTCGATCATCCAGTCTGATTTGCATCTGGGCTTATATATAGCAACTGTTGTAGATAATATAAAATATAATATAAAAACACAGATTTATATGGAAAACAATCACTGATTTTATTTCACACTACGTCTCAACAAGTTCCTCTTGTCGTTCTCAAGTAAGTAATAACGACAAGAGGAACTTGTTGAAACGTAGTGTGAAATAAAATGAGTCATTGTTTTCCATATAAATTTGTGTTTTTATATTATATGTTCAATTACTAATTGCCGTATAAGGATTTGTTGTAGATAAAAGAATTTAATAAGGAGATTAAAGGTACATTTCATCGAGCTAAATTGGGTCATCTGTTCGTTCATCCAGATTAATTTTTGTCTGAAGCTTTCGAATTATAGATTCAAATTGCCTAATACGTCCAGAATATATTTAAGAACTTAATAATTGGAATGTCTACATGTATACATATGACTTGCTATATTAAAATGCGTAAATATTCGAACAGGCATCATCGGAAGTAACGTGACAAATATAAGGTTTTTGGTAAAAATAACAAAAACAATATGTGTATTTCCTTCAATTTAGACATGTTCTCCAATCGATGGTTATGTTTTAAGGATCGCGACTCAGACCACAGGATTTATATCCTTAAAAGTTCTGTGAGGATATTATATCCACTGATATTCCAATAGCACCCTTTGAGGTGGGGACTTTACTAGGATTTTAAATCTGTTTGGCCCGCGATGGAATTCAAAGCTTGGACATCTTAGTCGAAATTTGATATTGATTTTGCAGTCATTTTTTTTTTATTTTTTTTTTATCAATATTTACTTCGATATTTTTGTTTCACAATCTAATTACAGTGTAAATTATAACTTACTTTCATTTTCGTTTTCGTTTCCGACTCATGTTTTGCCTTATTATTTTTTTTACATTTACACTGCAATAAGATCCAACAATGTCTTTAATAAGATTTTGTTCGATTGGCCCGACCTGATCTTCCATCTAGCCAATGAACAGACGTTTTCGCTCGCGGAAGAATGGTTTTAACCAATCATAGTAGATATAATTAAACTCTGAAAAGAATTGATAAGGAAGTGATTAAATCTTCATATAGTGGACCAACCACACCAGTGTGAAATGAAGGTCCAGTGCTGGTTTAACCATTAAGTTAAATAAGCACGTACTTAAGGCATCATGGTAATGGGGACGCCGCATAATCTCTGCTTTGTTAGAACCCAAATTTTAAAATATTCATTTCAGAATATGTAATATGAGTGTATATAAAGTGATTTATATTCAATTTAAAAAAAAAAAACAATTGTAATTTCTAATCAATTGTAATCCGTTCTAAACTTTTTTATTATTATTTTTTCATTTGTGAATCAGCCATTACAATTTACTTTTACATTGGAATTTAGCATATGTTTTTCTTTGTTCGTTGATATTGCGCCCGAAGCGATATGGTACACGAGTCGTGTACCATTTTAAAACGGTCTTAAATATTGGATATTAGTATCCCACATTTTCACGACAACATAACAACACCAATGTGGATTTAAATGGACCAATATTGAATTCTAATTTTTGTTTTTAATTTCAAATATTATGGAAAATATTGAGTTAGACACTTAGCTCCTTTAATGTACGGATTTCAAATCAGCGATGATTGCTTTTCATGTCAGTATATAATTATTCTTACAAACTAACTATTGATTTATATTTTTAATCATTTGGTTATGACATTGAAAGAAAATTATTGGATTATGTTAGAGATATTTTTTCAATTATCCCTAGTTTTAATTATCGGTAAGAGTGGTTCGTCCGTCGTATATTGTCGTCGCTATTGTCCGTCGGTACAGACACACCCTACAGACTTTAGTTCTTTGCAGAGTTTCGTCCAAGTTTCATTGTCTTTAATAATTTAGAGCAGGGGTTCCCAACCTTAGGTTGGTTGCTATATACCCCTTTCAATAAGCCATCATCTGATTGCAACCCTTCCAAGTACAACTTCACCCTCTATTATGAAACATTGTCATTATTTACAGATCAAAATGTTGTAATGAGGGACTGGGGAAACCATTCGTGAGCGTGAAACAGGAAAGACGGTTGGCAATGTGGCTCTAGGTGTATAGATCAGGGATTTATATGTTTTTCATGAAAACATAGCATTTTTTCAAAAGTTTTAAAGTAGTCCGCCATAGGCCACAAAAAGTGCTGCGCGACCCCGTCGAGACCATGAGATTGGGATCCCAGGATTTAGAGCGTGAAAAGTAAAAACTATTCTGTTTAACCTTAAAATTTGGTTAAAGAATCTGCCTATTTATTGGCTAATGCCTCGCCAACTTTCATCTAATTGAATCTTCTCCTCTTTAACGTTCACTGTCCAATTCAATCCAAAGACATTTTAGGTGGACATCGCCAGGAACCTTTATAAAACCCGAAATATTGCTCTTTATGGGTTTGAACGAAAACAATCTGATTAAAATACAGATCAATATTTCGTTTCGTTTCGTTTCGCTTTTTTACACTTTCGATGTACTCCTTAGTGTAGTAAAGACAAGTAAAGCGAAATTTTGAATTATCAAAATTGAAACGAAATAGGATCTGTGTTTTAATCACACTGGGACGAAAAATATCATAATTTGACCTTTAAACCCGAAATATTGCTCTTTTGTGAAACGGTCGATTAAAAAATAGGACTGTTGACGGAAGATATGATAAAATGACCCCGAGGGATGATGCTAAGTTAGCGTATTGATTATGGGTTTACTTGTATCAGCTTCGATCTACATAATAAAACAACTTCATACAAAACAAGTGAAGCGCAAAAAAGTGAAACCAAGCTCCATCAGAACTATCCGTTTTAGTCGTCTGCGGATTTCGCCATATTGATTTCTTTGACAACTTTCCTTTCATCCCTATTCGTGTTCATCCGTGTATTTCAAAAATAACAGGGCGACGGTGATTTACGTCTTTACTTGTTCGTGGTTGATTTGTATCATTGAGATGGTTTATCATTTGATTCGTATCATTTCGGAAAAACAACAGAAAACTAATCTGGTCGTTTCAGCTTATGGGAATTTGGATGGCCGAATGGTTAGCGCGTGCGCGTTGTATCATAACGTCTGTCATTGAGTCAATTGGCGTGGTTTCGATTCCCCGGTTGTATGTGACAAGGAGTAGGGTCGCCTGTCCAACCTCATGGGTTCTCTCCGGGTCCTCCCGTTTCCTTCCACTGCCAAAGACCTTACTATTGAAATAAAATTGAACCATGTGTTAGTCCCGAAATGACATAGTTTGTGTCGAGTGGACGTTAAACACCATTTCTCTCTCTCTCTCTCTCTCTCTCTCTCTCTCTCTCTCTCTCTCTCGCTCTCATTTTAGCTTATACCGCGAAAAATAAAACCTTAAAACATTTTTATTGGGATTTAAAAATCAGATAATGGCCTTTAGACATCCAAGAAATGATATTAAAATACGATTCCCAAAAGTAAAAATACATTTGACATTAAATTGACTTATGATTCCATTTTTTACATAGCCTGGAACCCACGAGTATACTCCTAGACAGAGTATTATATATTATTAAAACGTGTACATTTGTATGGAATGGAGCTTGCCGTGAATAATTATGGACTTTCTGTAGGTTAACGATAAACGATCTGTTGGCAGGAGGCCAAGCAAAAGTTTCTTTACTTAACTTCAGCAAAAGTATAGATTAAAAGGAATATTCAGTAATTGACACAAAACACATAAGTTAGATACCATTTTGGATTCGATATTCGCCAATACAAATGGTCTGTCGTTAAGATATTGACAGGCGATTGCCAGAAATTAATTAAACATGGCGTAAATGAAATGAAATGGGGTTTAACGTCCTACTGTTCTGCTCCGACTGGGCTAATGAAGACGGGCATACGCCATATAGGGGCGCTACGGCCTACTCTTGTATCGAATTCCAACTGTCAAAGGATCTTTTACGTGCACGTCAATATGTACACGGGATCTCGGCTTTCGTCCCATCAGAACGACAAGACAGCTGTCCTTGTCAGGCCCTCAGAATAAAGTAATTTGAATGACATTTTTAATATGTTCATTTTGCATTATCTATTTTTTTTTTTTTAAACTATTCTTGCGAGAATGATAGTTGGAATTCGAAAAATAGTATGCCGGAACACCGCTGACAGGACAAAATGTCCCTTACAGCACATTGCATGGCGTAGGCGCATCTTCAGTAGCCCGGTTGGTGCAGAAAGGTAGGACGTAAACCCCATTTCATCTTTATATTTTTGCAGCATGGTATTGGACTGTCGGACACAAAAACCCGAGGTACGATGGATTATGATATACAATGGTATAGAAATGATTTCTCATTAATGAAATATGTTTTATTTCAGCCACATTTTATGGAGTCGGAACAACTGCTGAATGATCTGAAAGATGCTCAAGAAAAACTACGTCTGGAGAAAAAAAGACAACTAGACTTGATTAACCAGAGAAGAGATCAGATAAGACAACAAAGAACAACTCCTCGTCCATCTCCTCCTGCAGACGCATCCAAACTTGAAACGTAACATCGGTACACGTTTTAATTTCATTTTTAAGGTATGTTTTCTTCTTCTATTTAATCTTTTATTTCAACAATGTTCCATCTGATCTAGCGATTAGCTTGGCATATTTCTAAGTTTGGAGTTCAATCAAGGGGGTTGACGCATCATTATAGGGACAATAACACTCTTGCTGGGTTGACAGCTCCAGAAAATAAAAAATAGCCTTATTCTAAGTACTAGATGTGTTAGTGTCCTTCCTGTTGTGTAAATTATCCATTAAATCCTATTTTACTTGTCCAGAGGGTTCAAAAATATTTTTACGTCAGGCTTTTCAAATCATTTAGTTGAATTTTTCCAATTTTTTAAATTAGGTGTGTTAAGATGAAATTTGTATCATCAATTAATTGGAATATTGTATAATAGTACAATTTGTTGACCAGAATAAAGATTGGGACATATTATTCAGTTACAACAAGAGTGGTATTGAGCCTTTAATCGATCGCAATCACAACCCAGATCAGTAATAAACAGTAATTGTATTTCACACAATTTGTATTTGAAAAAAAACATTAATTTTTCAAAGTTAGATGTTGATATATGAGAAAAATATGACTGACGTTTCAACTTAAAAAGATAGGCCCCCTCGCCCTAACCCTCTCCACAGTTAATTAAGAAAACAGAACTAAAATATTAACGGCAGGTGATTGTCTCTTATTTCAAGAACTATTCAATCACGAATAAGACTGTTTTCTAGGGTACCACTGTTCCAAGATTTTGCTAGAGGGCTTAGCACAGTGACATATGTATCCACATTGTCAGACTCTTGGTCCTGTTTATTTAAGCAAAATATTTCGTAAGTTTCATTTGTCTCGCCAAGACAAAATGTTTCAAACTTCTGAACAGTAGGTTATCTTCCGGTTTGGATTCAATCGGATTAAATAGTGGCTCAATAATAGATTTTAGCCTACACTTGGTCTTCACCGGATTTTGCTATATTCACCATATCATTGTAAATAATGAATCGTTGTTGAACTGATAATCTTTTTAGATATATTCAACTGATAATCCTTTTAGATATACTATTCAAAAAAAGTAGGGGATATTTGATTTTGGGGGCATAATACTAAAATATGCAAATGACTACGAAAAAAGTCACTATAGAACCTAACAGAAGAAACATTTCCAGTTACATGTGACGCCCAAACGCACCAATAGCTACCGCATGGAATGCAGGTGATGCTTGGGATCATCATGGGGGTCCAACCCAAGATTTGCACGACTCTGACTTTGAATGTTACAGTCATTGTGGCATTGAATTCCAGGGTGGAAACATCAGTTTAATTGTTTTAGTGACCAGAAAACAAATTTTGATATGCGTCGGCTTACCCAAAATGAAAGGTTACGTGCACTTGGCATGCTACAGATCGGCACAACACAGGCGGTTGTGGCGCGGACGATGAATGTTTCTCAGTCTGTCATAAGCAGGCTATGGTCCAGATACCGTGATACACAATCTGTACAGGACAGACCACGCTCAGGTCGACCAAGGGCGACAACTCAAGCCCAGGATCGATTTATCCGTACCTTGGCCTTGAGAAATCGTGTCATCACAACAAATCAGATCAGCGCTCGTCTTCAAACAGACACTGGTGTGAGAGTGAGTGGCCAGACGATTCGGAATCGACTGCATAGGGGTCACCTTCGCGCCCGACGTCCTCGCGTGATCCCTTGTTTGAGAGATCATCACATTCAGGCAAGACGTCGTTGGTGTAGGGATCGTCAACACTGGGATAATCGACGCTGGAGCAATGTGATGTTTTCAGATGAGTCAAGGTTCACTGTTGATTTTTTGGACAGACGTAGGAGGGTGTGGCGTCGTCGAAACGAGCGCTTCCAAGACGTTAACGTCATCAGACATGATCGATTTGGGGGTGGTTCTGTTATGGTGTGGGGAGGCATCACTGTTGCTGGAAGAACGGCTTTACATGTTGTTGCAGGGCGTGTTACAGGCCAGTACTACCGGGACAACATCTTGGCAGTCCATGTTGTGCCGTTCGCACGACGTCATGGCCGCCGTTTCATCTTCCAGGATGACAACGCAAGATGTCACAGGGCCAGGATCGTTACAGGTTACCTCCAACAACAGAACATCACCACATTACCTTGGCCAGCACTGAGTCCCGACCTCTCCCCCATCGAGCATGTCTGGGACATGCTTGGACAGAGGTTACGTCAACGTCAACAACGTCCTGCCAATGTCCAAGAACTTGCTGCTGCGTTGCAACAGGAATGGGACAATCTGGACCAAAATGACCTTAGACGTCTCATTAGGAGTATGCCACGTCGGATCAATGCTTGTTTGGCAAACAGAGGAGGATTTACCCGTTACTGACTTGGTTGTGATGCTGTGGTAACTTTGCTGTTTGACCCCGGGTATCATTTTACCCTTATAATGGTCAGTCTGTGCCTTACTTAGTCTAACGATCATTTGGAATAAATCGATGAATGTGAACTTCATTTCATTTTGTCATTTGTTTCTTCGTCAGTTTCATTAGGTGACTTTAATAACACTTAAAAATCAAATATCCCCTACTTTTTTTGAATAGTATATATTCAACTGATAATCCTTTTAGATATATTCAACTGATAATCCTTTTGGATGTATTCAACTGATAATCATTTTATATATATTTAACTGATAATCATTTTAGATTTATTCAACTGATTATCCTTTTAGATATTTTTAACTGATAATCCTTTTAGATATATTTAACTGATAATCCTTTTAGATATATTCAACTGATAATCCTTTTAGATATATTCAACTGCCACAATATTGATAGTTTACCAGGAATAGAACATCAATCAAATGATCATCAGGGTTTTTAGTTGTAATAGTTTAATTCTCAGACAATTTGACAAGATTCTCTGACAATTTGACAAGATTCTCTGACAATTTGACAAGATTCTCGGGCAATTTGAAAAGATTCTCAGGCAATTTGGCAAAATTCTCAGATCATTTGACAAGATTCTCAGATAATTTGATTAGATTCTCAGATAATTTAACAATGTTCTCAGATCATTTGACAAGATTCTCAGATAATTTGATAAGATTCTCAGATCATTTGACAAGATTCTCAGATAATTTGATAAGATTCTCAGATAATTTGATAAGATTCTCAGATAATTTGACAAGATTCTCAGATAATTTGATAAGATTCTCAGATCATTTGACAAGATTCTCAGATAATTTGATAAGATTCTCAGATAATTTGACAAGATTCTCAGATAATTTGATAAGATTCTCAGATAATTTGATAAGATTCTCAGATAATTTGACAAGATTCTTAGATAAACAACCTTCTTTCTGATCTAATAGAAGAATATTGTTGACTTGATGAGGAGGATAATACGCTTCCGTTTATAGTCCGGGGTTGTTTTTGTTTATATGGAATTAATTGGTTTATTGTTCCAATTTAACATGAAGCGACGAATCTCTTTTGTTCCAACTGAGCAATTGACAGTAATCAATTATCCGTACAGTGCCGGGTAGGTTTTTATCCGGTTTACGACACGAATAAACCATTAAAATGGGCCAACTCATTTTACAAACAGTTGTACTCAATGATTTCTCCCTCGAACACGTTGTTTCAATTCCGTTTAATCGAACCCTTTAACCTTTATTTATGTTAAAAGACATTAACAAAGCATGTTAATAACTTAAACTAAAATATTGACATTGTTCATCTAGGTTACATAATTGCTGTATTGTGTAATTTGTTTGGAGTTAAGTAAAGTTCAACCGAGCAATTTGTTATTCTCCTATGACATGTTTCATTGGGATTTTCCGACGTGGTTTCCCCTTGTCAGTGGTACAGAACGGAGAGCCTGGCAGTGACAGCTGTCTAGTCGTTCGGATGGGACGAAGAAACGTGGACTCGTGTATACATTGGTGTGGACGTAAAAGATCCCTTGGCAGATGGAATTCGACATAACCCAGTCGAAGCGGATGTAACACTATTTTAGTGATAACAGAGATCAATTTCGTAAATATATGGTTTATTTACATCAGAACAGAATATAACATCTACATACAAAACAATACAGGAACGTAAACTAATATACAGTAACTAGACTACATCGGGAACTAGACTACAACAGGAACACATAACAAACAATATTAAATCCACCATTCCGCCCCTGTAGTAAAGGGAAAAACAAACTTAAAGGTTTGTGAATTTCAGACTAATCTAGCAACGGCTAGATGTTGTAAAACTTACAGTCGTTGCTTCGGGAAGATGCGTTAAAGATACATTAGATGTAGTTCTCACTATAATTGTTAAAAACTAGATAATGTAAAGAGAATTTGATCCACTCTGAACCGAGAATTTAGCGATTGAATTTTCGGCCATGCCTCGATCATCATTACTAAAGTCGGTACGATAAAAACATAGTCCCGATTATCCATTTCATGATTAACATGAATGAAAGTCAAGCAGCAAATCGGATCCCAATCCAGTAAACATTGCAGGCTAGCGATGACATCGAGAGTTGATTATTAACTGGATAAGTTAATTGATATCTAATTAATAACTTAGATAACATTTCAGGCCTAAAGAAAGACCTGACATAGGCAGATTTAGCTCTTTCATAATGTATGTTTAATAGCCGATAGTTACGTGTATTGTGACTTCTGTATATCTATCATGAGGTCGTCGGGATCAAAAGGTCGTCGGGCCCTGAGACAGCGTAGCTGCCCCCCCCCCCCCCCGATTTTTGTAATTTCTACCTAATGGTGGTCAGTGGAGTGTATGCGATGCCCCTTGGGGTGGCCCAACCTAAATAATTTCAAAACTCATCGAAAAAAGATCACATTGTTTTACAATTTTTTGAAAATGTTTTGTCACCAAATCGCCGGGACCCACGGGCCCGGCCCCGATAAATTTGCCTCTGTTGCCCTCGTCGTGATCCGTCATCAAATTTCGTATGTTTTAAATTAGTGTAATTATATTGATGAAATATCCAAGTCAAGATCATCTCTAAAGCAAATCGCCACGATCCGTTTTTTATCCTATTCATATATAAATTATTGAAACCTTTCATTACGTTGGGGGGGGGGGGGTGGATGGGTTAGTGGTTAGCACGTGCGCGCTGTATCATTAAGTCTGCCATTGAGTCAACTGGTGTGGTTTCGAATCCCCGGTTGTACGTGACAAGGAGTAGGGTCGCCTGTCCAACCTCGTGGGTTTTCTCCGGGTCCTCCGGTTTCCTCCCACTGCTAAAGACCCCTACGCGCAAGCGAATTATGGAAATAAAGTTGGACCATATGTTAGTCCCGAAATGACCTTGTTTGTGTCGAGTGGACGTTAAACCCCCATTTCTCTCTCTCTCTTTCATTACTATATCAATAACACGGGGCAGTATTTCCTACCCACAATGTAGTGCAAAACTGTATTATGTAATATAATATAAATTCATTCCGTAACGCGAGGAAAAAACGCCTGTCTATTGATAGAAGTCGATGTATAACATAATGATCCTGATTAATTTTTTAATATACAATGGATATTTTGGTATCAAAACACGGAGTTTCTATGGTTGACGTTTGATGTCATTTACTTCCAATCGTGATTCTTCGATTGATTTCACAAAACGTGTAAATAATAAATGCCCGAATGACACACATGAGATAGTATCCATTTGATTATTGTTATTATTAATTATTTTTTTTAGAAAAAATTAGTTTTAAAGTATTCGTCCGAGATTACAGATTCTTATCGGCTCCTCTATCCGTTACTGGCTGATGCTATAGACAATTAATATGAAAATAAGACTTTTCCCCCATCTCGGTTCAAAGGCTATTTTAGAATCCTTAGAATCCCCGGTTGTACGTGACAAGGAGTAGGGTCGCCTGTCCAACCTCGTGGGTTTTCTCCGGGTCTTCCGGTTTCCCCCCACTGCTAAAGACCCCTACGCGCAAGCGAATTATTGAAATAAAATTAAACCATATTTTAGTCCCGAAATGATCTAGTTTGTGTCGAGTGGACGTTAAACCCCATTTCTCTCCCTCTTTCTCTTTGTTCGCCGAAAGGAATCGGTTCTTAATCCAGGGTATATTTTTTTTGTGTGAGTTAAACGAATAAATTGTGCGCAGAAGATTCGAGGACGCGTTTATTCTAGCCCTGTTCAGCTTTCTGAATGAAATGAAAATGGGGTTTAAAGGGACCATCCCGATTTTAAGAGAGTCTAAGAGTAAGAAATAAAAGTCCGTGTAATTTAAGCGTCAAAATATAGAGGAATGGTGTGTTGACCGTGTCTCAAAATTTAAGTTCAAAATATTGAGTCGTTTGGATGTGAATATCAAAATTGGTTATCCGAACACGTAACCCTTTTAAGATTTCGGGTCAATTTTTTTGTTGGGTGACCTGATAATCTATTGCCGTTCCTTTGAGGCCCATAGAGTGCATGACCCACATAACGAAAGGTAAATTTCACCTACACGTTATTTTTATAAAATAAAGTCTGGTTTTTATTCAGACACCGTATAATACAGCTTGGGACACTGGTCTCCATTTCCAGCTGAAGACTGACGGGTTTAAGTTGTTTGAAAACGTAACACATATATTCAGCTAGTTAAGGCCTTTAAAACAAAATTAACTAGTTTTATTCTCCAAAATATAATCCAGATTGACCCTTTAACGTCCTACTGGGGTACGCCATGCGGTGTGCTATGATCTGCTCCTATATCGAATTCTAATTTTCATGGGTTCATGAACGTGCACCCCAAGGCGAAACCACGCTGTAAAGTCCAGGGAAACTTTCTAGACGAACACCGGGATCGAACCGGCGCCTAACTCACATAACCACAGCGGGTCGCAGCTATATCTGAAGCGACGTGGTCCTTTTTCGATGAAAAACACATTATCAGTACCTATGATTCTCAAATTCCACGAAATGGCATTATGAGATAGAAATTATATGAGTATCATATGAGATAGAAATTATATAAGTATTATACTAGGTAGAAATTATATGAGTATTATATGAGATATAATTATATGAGTATTATATGAGGTAGAAATTATGAGTATTATATGAGTTAGAAATTATATGAGATAGAAATTATACGGGGTAGTAATTTTATGAACATTATACGTGATAGAAATTATATGAGTATTATATGAGATAGAAATTATATGAGTATTATGAGGTAGAAATTTTATGAACATTATACGAGATGAAAATTATGTAAGTATTGTATGAGGTAGAAATTATATGAAATAGAAATTGTTATTAATTTTTAGAAGCTAGCTTTAAAGCCTGTTTCACACGAGTGCGTCACTAGTAGAGTTTAGTCTACGAGTTACAACAAAACACCCGATTTAAAATGCATGGCTTTATGTTCTCAAGAAATTTAAATATTTAACACCGGATCTAGTGTCGTCAATCTTTTTCAGAGCAGAAACAAAATAATAGGCTTTCTTAATGAGATATGAATAATTGATTTTCGTATTTCCATTTGTGTTAATGGATCGTATTTTTGTATTTCAGAGGCGGAATCAACGATAAAAGAGACAAATACTGGACAAACGCCATCGGTGAAATGTCTACAAGTCGTGAGAGTAAGGTTTAATTCAACAAGAATGTTTACCTGGCGATCTGCAAGATTTGTTCTTGTATGTTGAGTGTGAAACTTTCTTGTATCTCGTACTATTTGAACTAGAAGTGGACAATATGAATATTTTATAGACATTGACTGTATTAGATGTCTAACCAATGTGATAATGATGTCGATAATGCTACTACTGTGTGGATAGACTGCTGGTTATCTGTAAATAACAACCCATATTTCACATTTTACACATTACTGTCAACTATTGATGATTTAACAAATCCGTCCATTGAGATTTTTACGCATATTTTATCCATTTTGTTTTCATACACGAGAGCTTTTCTTAAATATATGTACACAATTGCTAGTCTTTTATCCATTATTTGTGATATTTCATACTTTTTAACACCATTTAACACCATTATCATTTTAAATTTTTACAGTAAATTGTGACGTTTTTTGTGTACAATGTAAGAATAATATTTTTGCAGTTGACTGCTTTGTGTAATACTGATAAATGGACTTGGGGCGCTTTTTTCACCCTATAAATTATACACTTTCTAGAACCATATATTTCTAGATTGTAAGAACCCATTAGTAAATATTGCATACATGTACATATGTATACGTAAAATACAGATGTGACGCCATCCTTTGATGTTGGCGTACCATTATTTCAAATAATGGTGCGGCGAATGTGCCAAGTGTACATTATTTATAATAGTTGAAGTTTTTGACCCGCGTGACGTATTTCATTGCAAAGGACATGCGAGTGTCTGTATTTTAAAGTTGTTTAATGGTCTCGAGCTAAAGACATTGCGTAATATATTGAAACAACACGAAACAACACCAATATAATACGCAATGCCTTAAGATCGAGACCATTAAACCACACATACTTGCCGTCACAATGTCTTAATTATCCATGAATTGATTAATACTAGCTTAATATTTTCCGTGAAATCTGAATCATCGATCCCGGATGATCGTAGTTTCAAACGGATTCACGGTCCCTCAAATGGCGATAACCGGCTTTAAATGGGTTTATATTGAAAGTGGGCAACATTGTACAATCAGCAGCTTGCATGTCGAGAATTTTGCAATGGCCAAATCAAATGGTTTTTAAATCCGAAAATGGTGGATTTTGCGGTTTGAATCGTGTTGTTTTTTTGTTGTTTTTTTTTATTAATTTAATAAAATCATTTTAAAATGATTATTGTTTGGATGTAAATTATCATAATATTGAAGATGTATGTATGCAGATAGTTTTCTGCTACATCTACCTACCGGGTCTTTATTTTTTATTTTTTTTTTTTTTTGCTTCAATTAGACATTTATTCACATGCCAAGCCCATAATCAATATCTACACCACCGAATAGCTTAGATAATGGGTTGATTAGACAATGCCCGCCATATCTTCGTTAAACAATTATATGGACGCCACTCAAGAACACTGACAACCGAGACATCATTTATTATCGCGACAAGGGTACTTGACAATCAAGAATATGATCTGTCGAGCGACAGTGCTCTTGTCAAAACTTCAAACAATCATAACTTCCCTCATACATAATAAATTATCTTTTTTTTAAAGAATGAAATGAAATGGGGTTTAACGTCCTACTGTTCTGCTCCGAACTGGGCTAATGAAGACGTTTTTTTTAAAAAGATACATTAGTTAAGAGTTTAATAAAGAGTTGGTCGTTCTTGCTATAATAATATCAAAAAAAGAAAATATTGAAAATTTCATTCAAATTACTTCATTCTCAGCCAAGTTATCATTGTTTGTAGTTTTGACAAGATCTGTGCACAGTGGTAACCAGGGCACTGGTATAATCGGGACTTAGCCTCGCTTTCCCATTTTTAAATTAAATTTTTAAATGGCGAACCGTTCTAATCTAGTTAAAATCTCGAGTATCCGATACTATCGAGGGTCGATTATGGTCTTGTTTTGTTAATAAATGTCTAATTAATAGTTTATATAACATTTCAGGCCTAAAGAAAGACCTGCAATAGGCAGATTTAGCTCTTGCATAATATATGTTTAACTATTATACCAAAAACAACCAGCTCTTGATCTAAATCTTACATAATGCATCTTTAATTTGCATATCATCTTCAAGTCATTATCCATTACTGTAATTTACATTGCTTCACGTTCATCACTTCTTCAATTTTATCTTTCATTTACGGAATGAAGTCCGCAGAATGATTTTATTCTTAAGGGAAAGATTTGACCAAGATTATTTTTTCATTATATTTATTATGTAAATCTTGTTATTTATTGGTTATTTGTTTGTTAACTATTATATGAGATTATATATTCTAAACCACATCAATCACTGCTGAGAAATAAATTACATTTTAAATCATCTTTGTTTCAAGTTCTTCATTGGCTGTATAGTTAGTTTGGAATCGCAGGTTATAAGCAATCCAAAGTAGATTTATCCCGTGGGAGCCTCAAAGGCTTTACGCCTAAACCTGAAGGACGCTTTAATCCTAACCAGAATAGTGGGTGCATGTGGGGTTGACCAGTACAAATGTTGCTTAGTCGTCTACTGTGGACACGTAATGGAACCTTTGGCCCTGGTTTCTCAAAATATTCTCAGACTTAAGTTAAGAATTTACTCAAAATTGTTCGCCTTATTTTAACCAAAATATAGCCGTTTATAAAACTTTTGTTGTTTTAATGTATCAAAATACACCAATAAGAAACTATGTGTTTCTGGAGTTTTGTGTACCTGGATCAAGGATATTTCCCATAAACAGTGAATGCTTTGTGAACCTGGGGACTGCTCCATTATTATGTGCAAAGTTTGTGTTTCTGGGTCAAAGATATTTCTCATTATATAGCAGTGAATGAAAGTTGGGTAAATTCTTAACTTAAGCTTGAGAATGCTTTGCGAACTCGGCGCCTGCTTCTTATTATAGCATTGCGCACATGGCCATAGAAACATTTAACAGTTTATTAGTCTCAAACTAATAAAGTATTTTGTTACGAGATGTTAAAGTAGCTAAGTCTCTAACTCAATAGCATCAAAAGTCTTCGAAATTGAAAACACGAATTATTTGTCAATTTAAATCAACATTGATGTTGTGGTCTTACCGCAAAAAGATGGTCTTCTGATATCCAATATTTAACACAAAATAAACATGTTACTATTGGTGCACGAATCGTGTACCAAGGGACTCTAAGAACGAGGCTGGACATATTGCATAAGTCATGTTATACGGTGACGTCATGTTCTTATCTGGAGAGCATGCCAGACGGTAGATATTGCCATTAGATTTAGACTTCTGGTCTATTTCGTCGAACATAACTAATTTGCAATTAGAGTAAAAACGGAAACGACCGAATGTGAATCAGTCTATATACATTCATATTACATTTTTATATGCGTTGCGACCCAATTGTGTCAATATCTAGGCCCAAATTTAGCACAATTTAGTTTTTCTTCTTTTACCCAGCAGCCGAATAATGTTGTAGGCGTTGAGATGGCGAATAAATATATGTTTACCTGTTAAATTGACACCAGTGACGATGCCCTGTATGACAAGAGTTGTAAATATTATATGGGATGTTCCTGGTTATTTGATACGGGATTACTGTCGTTGATGAAAGCTCCATACATTAAACAAATTATATTTATAGCACGGCTTTCATGAGTTAACAGGTTTAAACATCGAGGCCGTAGGCTGAGATGTTAAACCTGTTAACGAATGAAGCGTGCTATAAATGACTTGTAACATTGACACCTGCTCAACATGCTTGTTGTTATTGCACAGAAAACCCACCCCACTTCTCCCACAAAACCTCGCCATCGTCGATAAAACAACTAAATCGTAGATTATTCAAATTTATTTGTAATATACAATCAGAATTTTAATATACATTAAATACAATGTTTATACAATAAATAGAATTATATAATAGAACATAACAAAAAGTTTAGAGATCAAAATTGAACACCGCGATTATAGATTATTATAAAGTATATACAAAGTGTCTTTTTACATATTTATGCATTAAAGGAAATAATATATAATTCAATTTACAAAATATACAATAAATAAAGTACTGTCCTTTTCTAAGTCACCGCCTCACGAATTTCGAGCGACACTAGGTAAAAATCGTAGAAAAACTAAAATAATGTCCGCACCAACTAAACTTTATCACACATTTTTCTATGGCGCGTTTTTGTACGATTGGATTTTGTTTAAGTTGAATAATTCGAGCACGAGCATGGATATTAAGCAATTCAAGAATCTATCAGATATTATGTAAGTTGGAAGCAAAAACAGTGGTATGAAGTTTGTATTGATCAATTTAAATCGTTGAATTCGAATAAAGGGATTATTGAATAAATAGCTTGAAGCTCGAGTTAAATAATATGATAAACTATATACCTTCTAGTAGGCCACACGCGGTCATTATTAAAATCGACACGTAAATAATTCATGAATAATGATCTCATAGAAGATGAACATAGACATGAAAAAGTTAATTTAAATCGAACGCGCAATTAATAACGGGTAATATTCTATGTCGAGTTCTCTACGGGTCACTGTACCCTTCGTTCCACTCGTGCTACACTTTGACTAGATCTTTAAATTTACCACAGATGCTAAATCGTTCAATCTACTTCAAGAATTCGACGAAGAGATGCAGGTACCTTATAATACAATGTATTATAAGATCCATGAGAGATCTAAGTGAAAAGAATTACATGGGTGAATTCGCATATCATATCGTTCCACGACTATCACTCGTTATGCACTTTGGATAAGTCTTTAGATTTACATGTACGACGGATGCTAACTCGTTCAATTTACTTGAGTAATTCAATGAAGATATCGCATTCAAGACAGGGTAAGAGATCAAGGCAAAAACTATTTTAAAAAAAACACATCGTGCCGCTAAGCCATTCCGACATACTATTTCACGTCATTGATGTCGACATCGAAGCACGTATGAAATGTATCAGTATAATGTCGCAATTCACGTTTATTCGACGCCATTTGCAATTGATGAAATTGTCTTGAGATCTGTTTATTCCCGATCACGTTAAATATTGTCATAGATATTAAACAATGGACTGGACAATCTAAACATAAAGCTAGACGTATACAGAAATTTATAGTTCAATGTCATTCTGTCAATGGACTGGACAATCTAAACATAAAGCTATAGACGTATACAGAAATTTATCGTTCAATGCTGTACAATATAAAAAGCTATAGAGGAAGGAATAAATTCACCAATAGGGTAGCATTTAAAGCAAAGGAGACTACTTTGGTTACCTGATAAAATACCTTCGGTATTTGTCCTTATTTGTCTTAAACTGATCCTATATCTAAAGCCACTTTTGCCCAATAATCAAATTTATCTACTTTACCTTCGTCGTCGACATTTTGTACAAAATCGAGGCATTTTGCGTATACATTTGATCTGTTCGTTTCATTAAAAATACAGTTTTTCTTTCACAAAATGAAATTTGATAGTATCTTTTAAAAAAATAAAAGTAAATTGTGACACATCTATATTTTAAAAAAAATATCAACCTAGCCGTGCTTAATTTTTCCTGCCGAATCATGTTTGTAATCTCTCTGCAGTTCTTGATCACAAAGGAGAAGTATTTATCTCCTACAATCGTCATATAATTACCACATTTTTCCCCTCTTTGTCCATCTTATTTTGAGCAGAGGTGAGTTTCTACCCATACCAACAAGCCTAACAGCTACTGATAGTTAAAAGTTAGTCAATCCCTTCGCCCACATTAAACATTACTTGAGGAACTGAAACAAAAATCGAAAACCATATGTCAAGACCACAACATTTATAATATATAAATACAATATCGAAAGCATAAATATATATAATACATGTGGTAATATTTGAATTTTACTTTTAAAATTATTTTCTTTCTTCAAGAAGTATACTCTCTGTCTCGGATCACCAAAACTTTTCTTACTCAATTCAGCGGATGTTCCTATCTTAGAAAACCGGCCATAGAATACTTTCTTACTTTATTCAGCTGAAACCTACATCAAGATCTGTTCCTAGTGCCCCAGAATACGTTTTACTAAATTTGACTGAAACATAAATCGAAATCTATTCCCGGTGCCTCTGACAGAGGGTCAATCGAATATGTTTTTTACTATATAAATTTGACTGAAACGTACATCGAAACGAAATCTGTTCATAATGCCCCGGAAAGAGCGTCCGTGCGATACCTTCTTACTGAATTCGACTTAAACGCACATCTAGTCCTCGTGCCCCGGAATGGGTGTCAGTTGGTTACCTTCTTACTGAATTCTCTTTCCCCGGAATAATCGTCAGTAGGGTACTTTCTTAATTTTTTCGACTGAAACGTACATCGACATATGTTTCTAGTGTCCCGGAATAGCTTCAGTATATAAAAGATACAAAATGAAACCACCTGGATATTCTATTCGAGACGATTGTGTTAAAATGTAAGAGACATGACATAACCCCAGAAGTAATCATTATGCTGAATGAGAAGAAAAAGCTTAGCGATCACAGTGCCCTGTCCATGGCGACAATCCTCTCTGTCTGAAAACAACTATGTTAGTAAGGTAAGAACTTCAAATATTATATAAATAAATAAATACTGTTTGATTTACATACGACACTCCTGTATTTATTCCTGTAGGAGAAGGGTTAGTAGCAATATTATAATCTTCCTATATAGAACATCATTATACTGTTCAAGTACCGCCATTAATATCTACATTTATATATCTATTTTAGCTTGATTATTGATTATACTACAAATTGCTCAAAAGACGTTAATGTTATCTTTTCGATTTTTTTTTTTTTTTTTTTTTAATTTTGAATCGCTAAGGATACAACAATTCTACTATTATGGGCGGTAAGTCGTTGTATATAATGTAAAATATTAATATTATTCTTTCATTCTTTCATTTTTTAAAACCCATTAGGATTTTAAAATTATTGATTATTGTATAGCAGCCATCAAATCGCGCCACTTTTGTAAAAGAACAACATATTCGTGTACTTAAAAGGAACCTATTGCTGTTTTATTTTCTATATTTCCCAATGCAATGTTATCAAACCTTTTAACCAGAAAATAGATACCGGTTTCATAATATCAAGAAGTCTAGTCTCAATAACCAGAGTTACACATTGGTGCATGCGGTGCTTACTTTTCTGAAAAATAAAGAACAAATCACATTGAATTATGATTCTTATGGTTTCCAATATTATATGGGCGGTGATTTTGGAACAATGTATGTCATAATTGTCTTATGTTTTGTCTGACAGCCCCCAGCCATTGTCGGTGCTTCTTCCTCTTTGTAATGTATTTTAAAAGTTCAAAAGGTGAATGCGGTCCTGGGTAAGGCTATAGAAAATATCTTAGAACAATTCTTACTTATAGGACCAAAATAAGAAACATGTTTTATACACTAAAGCTAATTTGAAGCCTTCGAATTGATGGCTATTACCTTGATCACAAGTCAAATAATCGTTGCAACTTCGCCGCCAAAGAGCTGGAGTTTAGGCGCACTACCAAATAAATTAAATTATATTATATCATAACTAGATAAACTAAAAGTTTTAAGGCTTGTTTTCGTAGTAATATACTTGTTGAAAAAATGCCCTTTGGTGTAGCGAATGCCCCATCACAATAAATAAGTTAAACGGTGACTTCACGTACCTCAATTTCGCGACTGGGCTATGCCTACGTACACGTACTGTAATGGATTTTATGCGGACTATCAAATGAATTAAAAAATATTATATCATAACCAGATAAACTAAAAGTTGTAAGGTTTGTTTTCGTAGTAAAATACATGTTGAAAAAATACCCTTTGGTCTAACGAATGCCCATCACCATAAATATGTTTAAACGGCGACTTCACGTACCTCAATTTGGCTGGGCTATGGTTATGTACACTTACTGTAACAGTTTGGTTTTCACAAAATGAAATAGATATACTTTTAAGGCATCTACTTAAAAGATTTTAAGATGTTTAACGTCTTTTGAGCATTTTATCTACATATTTACTAAAACTATTGTATACACGTATATGGACATAAAACATAAAATATATATAGTAAGCGAGCATAAATCAAATCGATTTCAGGTTTTAAAATCAACAGATTTCTAAACGTAAAATACATGGACGTGGTACACTAGGCTACAAACATAAATGGACGAGAACACATCAGACTATTCAGTCCTTACCGTGGCCCTCTCATCGTTTTTGTCTTTCGAGGTAAAAGGTTAATTGATATACTGACCCCGGATATTTGGGTAATTAAATTTGCGAGAATTTAAAGTTCTCGGAATCATCCATAAAATTTCTTTCGTATCTAATACAATCCAAACAATTCCCACGCCTCTTTAATCTATAGCTTTTTCAAACCCCACAAGCTTTCAACTATCCCTAAATACCCCTCAGTATACCCCAAATGGAATAAATCTCATGTGTATATATTATGTAGGAAAAATAAATAATTATAAAAAAAGGTAATAAATGTATATTAAATAAAGTATATTTTAATTAATTTATTATGTTAGTTTTATTCTAAAATGCAATATCTACCCAAGTGTACGTTACAATATTTCTAAAATACACGTTTGTGAAAATATGTATAACTTCATATCTAAAGCATTCCCGTGTTTCACAATATTGAAATGAAATTTGCATATTGGTGATTTTATCATTCTTCTACGAGTATATAAATATAATTTTGTCCCAATGCCATGCGTCAGATATAATCTATAATTATGGTATGTAATTATGTTATGCATATATGATGTCACGTGCTTTATATAATAAATAAATAAAAGTCAGGCCACGTGCAGTCCCAGCATCTAGCCTTCTACGCCAGCAGTATTCCATACCATCGATTATACATAAATATACAAAACCTGCGGGACCATTTGTCCCTACTAAATAGCCCTTCTCCGATGTGATAACACCACGACACAATAAAAACATGACTAAAACACCCACGTGGTTAAAACACGTGTTCAGAGAGTTCATTAACCCATAAACAAACCTGAACCCATAGCACAACACATACGAAAACTCTTTAAACGAATGCTGATCCATGACCATTTCAACAAACATGTAAATAATCAACGTGGCTTTTAACACGTATATTCTTTACATTACGGCCTACATGTATTTCGACTGCCAGATGAAGTTTGATACAAATGAACTTTTTTAAAAAATTAATTGGGCCTTAATGATAAATTTTTATCATAAATAACATAAACCTCTCAAGGGTTTCTTATTTTTTAATATATTTTTTAATAACATTATACATATATTTCAGGATTATTAAATCGATAGTATTTTTGTAATTTTTTTTTAAATTTAACTTATCTTCAGATCTGGCAGTCGAACTACTTTAAACGTTTCTACAAGCGAGCTTACTGTCACAATTTTAATGCCTGTGATATTATGAAGAATATTATGACAATTTGTAATATATTGTGACAGCTTCCTACAAACAAAACAAAACAAACACTACCTCATCCCAGAACACAGCGCTAAACAAACGTTCTACATGAACATGTATTTAAATAACCCATCATCCCACACTACAATACCTACCTCAATCTCGCTCGCCTTCTATCATTTATCTCGCGATTTTTGTTTTAAAAAAATCTCTCCAAAATTTAACTGGATTCCACGTATTATACTCACCTTAATTAGCTACTGCCTCAAACCTCAATCTCGTAATTTATGGAGAACATCGGACTATGCGCCATCAATGAAATCAGAATTCGGTTCTATAAAAAGCTACAAATAGGCCCTTGAAACTGGCTAAGACGGATCGCTTAACGCTAAAAATATCTATTTTCTCCATGGACAAGAAGAATTAAGTCCTTTTTTTTAATTGAACCCCACCGTCTTACCATAAGTCTGATACTCTATCTGTACCCAGCCAATGAATACTGATTTACTTTTGAAGTCACATAGCCATGTTTCCGTTTTAAAATGTAAAGTATAGTTTGAACATGTTATTGCGTTGACAGACAAAAATACAAACCGACGAGGACATTATTAAGCCCCTTTTATATTATACTAAATCCTATATTCCCCTTTCATATAGCTATTGTAATTATGAAAAATGTCAAATAAAATATCAGAACTAATACTAATTTTTAGCCAAAAAGTATAAAAAAGCAATATTTCTTTCAAAATTCTCTTCCAAAATCATCTGTAAGTTGTAAGATTAGTAAGAGTAAGAGATATGCAGTTTTCAATAATTACGACCCTCATGCACATATTATTCCAATATATTCGTTGTTCCAACCCTCTTAATCGTTTGATGTCCCATCCCCACATGCTGTATCCACAAGATATGTAGGAAGCCAAAAGAATACCATACTGGTAGGTAGTCTGAATTTTGGTTCGAGAATTTGATATTGTTTTTAGAGGAAGTAAAAAGATGAAATAACTTACCAGCCCCACCATCGGTAACCACAAGGAGGACAAATGTTCTGGGGGTAATCACATCGATTCGTTACGTTGTTAAAAAAGAATCCACCTTTAGAGAAAGAACATTGTTTGTATCCTTGGAACGCTTGATTATAACATTCATAATAATAACTACACCCTTTTGATTGCGCTGCATATTTTCCATTGGATTTGTGCTGACAAGTTGGTGCTTCTCCACAAGGTGCTTCAACATTCTCTCTTCTGTCACATCGTCCAATGAGTTGATTGAAAACAGAGCCATGTGGACAAGTGTCATTTCGGATCAAAACCCCTCGACCACATTCGTAATAGTTCCTACACCCATTTTCAGTGTCCGCATGGAATCCCGAACTCTTGCCCTCACAGGGGTTATGAAGAAGTCCGCATGGTCGAGGTAAAAGTTCTGTACTGATGACACATTCTTCTGTATAGGGATCAAATGATCCATAATCACACGTATGATACTGAACAAATGATCTTCGTCTACATTCAAAGTAAAAACCACATCTTCCGTATGGATCAGCGTGGAAGCCATCTTCTCTGTCAAAGCATTGGGGTTCCATTCCAGAACCGCATGGTGGTATCGAATTTTCAGCAGATTCGCATTTTAAAGTCAGTGGATCAAAGACTAAACCTGACGGACATTTATCATAACCAACAAAAGCTTGATCTTTGCATTCAAAGAACATCCCGCAGCGACTTTGTTCATCTGGATAATAGCCATCCGGCCGGAAGTAACATTCAGGTCTCAATCCGCCATATTGTTTAGGCACCTCGTAGATAGAGACACAGTCGAAGGCTTCCGTTGAGAATATAGGAGATGGTTCTTGGCAATCGTCTTGAGCAATGCTTCTTTGGCTGTAGCATGTTACAAAGGTAGGGGACCATCGGTCACTGTGTAAGGGATAAATACCATTCTCTTTGCCACGACATGTTCCATAAACAAACTCACAAGGAACACAGTCTGACGTCGTACATTGATTGACAGTATATTCACCTGAAAAAATGAAGTAGACAGGTGCTTGTGAAGTTAGGAATCTGTATCCCCGTAAATATTTAGTTGAGGATAATGAATAGATGTTTATCGGAAAGGTTCTTTGTTCGGGGGGAGGGGGTTGATTTTTTTGTTGGTTATTTTATTATTGAGAATGTGAAACTCGCGTGTGTTTGGGAAACGGCATCTTCGCAGGGGCAGATCCAGGGCTACATAAAAAAATTTGTAAAACAAACTTTTTTTGAAACGGTGTCACGGTCGTGTGCTTTATCCTTAATCATCAGATAATGGGATGGGATGGGCATTGATAATTATATAGACATATGTGTTATCATAATTAATGCTTTGCATTCTCCCCATTATATTTGGAGCCATAATTGTGCAAAATTTGCAGCCATAATTGTGCAAAATTTGGAGCCATAATTGTGCTAAATTCTATTTTAGGCTCTTGTCAAGTTATTGGAAGAAAAATAAGCGAAAAATCTAAGGGGTGAATTTACTTGATATTTTGGTGTTGACTCAGTAGCGATCGTTTTTGTTTTTCTATTTTGCTTCCTGAAAGTTTCCTGTTAAAATCGTTCAGAACTGATATTATTGCATATCAGTTCTATGGCATTACTTTTTGTACGTAGATTTCAATTATTTATAGTGTTACCTGTTATATGTAATATTATATATATTCTGATCCATACTGGATGTAATGTGGATGTAATGTAGCATTCATAACCGATAACAATGGCTGTGTTTTAAAAATTGATTATGCAGCGATTATGGTTGCGTTGGGCATACTTTTAAAAAGCCACGGCCTCTTCCATTTGATTTAGGAGACCACGGTGGCGGGGTGGGTAAGACATCGGTTCACTAACTAGGAAGCCCCAGGTTCGACCCCCGGTCGTGGTCTCTTTGATTTAGGAGACCATGGCGGCTGGGTGGGTAAGAAACTAACTAGGAAGCCACAGGTTCGACCCCCGGTCTTGGTCTCTTTCATTTAGGAGACCATGGTGGTTCGGTGGTAAGATTAAGTGTGGGACGTTAAACCCCATTTCCCTCTCTCTATATATATATAAGAAAGTCATAATCATATTTAATTGTATGAGCCGTTTGATTTTAACACGCTCTATAGATACCAACGCTTGCTATGAATTATTTGTCTTTTAGATTGATAGAAAAGGCAATGCTACTTCTATTTTTATTGTTCGGGTTTAAAACAGTGTGAAGTCTAAACAAAAGGCCTTTTTCATTTTCCTTCCTGAGCAACTATTCGTCTTTGTCATTGTTTTGTCGCTATGTGATGTTGACTTGAAAATACTAAGTATGCCATAAAATAATCGGAATATTAGCAATATATTCTAGAATATAGGAATGACAAAAGCAAACTTATCACTATTTTGATACGTAGGTTAAATTGTTAACGGGAAAGGTTGGGTACAGAAAGGTTACATACAAGATATAATTTAAAAATGATTTCAGACGTTCCAGCTGAGATGTTTGAACTTATGAAGGTTTAACGTCCACTCGACACAAACTAGGTCATTTCGAGACTAACATATGGTTTAATTTTATTTCAATAATTTAGCAGTGGGAGGAAACCGGAGGACCCGGAGAAAACCCACGAGGTTGGACAGGCGACCCTACCCCTTGTCACGTACAACCGGGGATTCGAAACCACGCTAGTCGACTCAATGACAGACTTTATGATACAGCGCGCGCACGCTAACCATTCAGCCATCCAACCCCCCGAGAGAGAGAGAGAGAGAGAGAGGGAGAGAGAGAGAGAGAGAGAGGGAGAGAGAGAGAGAGAGAGTTAATGTCCACGCGACACAAACTAGGTCATTTCGGGACTAACACATTGTTCAATTGTTTTACACTAGCAGTTAGAGTAAATCCGAGGAACCGGAGAAAACCCACGAGGTTGGACAGGTTAAGAAATGTAGCACGTATAAATAACCTCAGCAGACAAACCCGTCTTCATTAACCCGGTTGGTGAAGTAAAGCAGCACCTTAAACCCCCATTTTATTTCATTTCATTTGTCTTCGATATATTGTAATTCAAGTTTTTTTTGTTTTTGTTTGTTTTTGTTTTGTTTTTTTTTTGGGGGGGGGGGGGGTATTTCAGTGTTAGTCTTGTTTGTAAGAACTAAGCTATACGATAATATCATCGTATCTAAGTATATACCGTATCTATTGAAATGTGACGACGGTTCATTCTACAACTTAATGATTAAAGGGCGATAACCAGGGTAATTGTTTTCTATTAATTTATAAACCTATAACGGTAAATTTCTTTGATCTTTGGGGTATATTGCGGTCTTAAAGTCGGGGGCGGCTTTGGATATATACAGGTGAATTTGGGGTTATTCTTCTGAAAGTTTTTGTTTAAACCTATAACGGGTTATTTTTCCAGGGCAGGGGTTTTTTTCCATAAGAAAACATATGAGGTTTTTCTTACGGGAATTCTGGGATATTCTCATTTTGCGTACATTTTGCAAAATAAAGTCCTCGACTTCGGTTATGCTGGGGAAGAAGACTTCAGAAAAAAAACCCGACAGAAAAACCTTGGCCTGCCGGCCTCGTCTTTTCTTTTTCTACGGTTATTTTCTTCAGTCTTTCTTCCACCAGTATAACATCAGTTTCGTGCTTTATCCTACACATAATCTTATTACCATCAGGTAAGGGTTTATGTTAGTACTATGTGAGTATGCGGAGGGGGTGGGAGCATGGTTTCGATTCCAGGCCTGTAAGGTTTCCTCCTTCAACAGAAGACGAATTATTGAAATGTATTGAATGGACGTTAAACCTTATTTATCTTCTTTTTTTTGCGGAAGGGAGTGGGGGGATGGGATCGGGGAGAGGGGGAGGGGGTGGGGGATATTATATATGTATTCTTTTCTATCTTAAATTGTGTTCAATCTAAATTCCCTTCACTGTTTCTACAGTTGTCACGTAGTTAGTCCCACCATACGTGTTCGCTGGTACAATAATTTTAATGTCTGCAATATATCCTTACATTATGCCTTCCCAAATATGCATCGTGAACCTCTTTCCAACTTAACTATCAAAACTTTTGTCCAAAACAATAGACTCTTTGCTTATTGCCACTTATAACATTTTGTCGACATGCGACATCGATAAGTGGTGTTACATCTTTAGAATGGGGAATGATTAAAATACAATAAAATGTATCAGGGGAGAGAATCCGTGTGGAATTGCTAGAACAACCCGTACCGATAAGAGAGAGAGAGAGAGAGAGAGAGAGAGAGAGAGAGATGGGGTTTAACGTCCACTCGAAACAAACTAGGTCATTTCGGGACTACCGTACCGATAAATATTCGATAAAACTGCATAAAATCAGGTGATGGGTCAGACATTTCGTACTTTTGTCATATTTGTTGTATACAATATGTTTTTTGGGAACACGAAATCGTTAGTATTACCGCCTTAAAGTTATATTCGTGTGATATTCTTAATGTAATTTAATTGTGCAAAATGCTGTTTGAACAAAATCTCTTTTTTTATTTAGTTATCTTAATTTTGAGTATTTTTTTTTCATTTTCCCAGAACAAGCAGCTATAAATTTTTAACCAGGGTGTTTTCGGCGGTTAATTCTACACACACACTCACATTGTTGTGTGATTTTGTTGGATTTTGGTTTTTTTTACAGGAAAGATCTAATATTTAAATCTTTGACATGAATTAATATGTGAAAAGGAACAGAAATAGCCTATACTTGTGTACGCTACACCAGACCTCCACTAACCTACATTTTTTGTTACCCCACAGGCAATAACCGTTACACTATAGAATACCCACGAAATGGTAAATTTGTCATATGTAAAGAAATACTTTTACTGGCCGAATAACAACATATTTAATTATGAACAAAAAATGAAAGTAGGGATCCGGTGCATGCGTTCTACCGTTACACGAATACAATCGGCTTTACATTGGTAATGCGAAAGCCTTCTTTTAACTATGCAGAAGATTCACGTGTGACCGCCTCGATGGAATGTGCAATGTTTACATCGGACGTAGTGACACAAACTGATCCGCACAGAATTGGAGCCTTTTACTTATTTTATACTAAATAGGAAATAATTTTTATCCAGATATACTTCCAACGCCATTTAAATTTTGCAGAAGAAAAAAAGTTGATATTGTGAGATCATTAACTCGCCTCGACGTCATACCTAAAATGATGAATTTAAAATTCAACAATATTCGGTATCCTGGGGCCTGTTTCACGAAATTTTAACTAAGATAAAATCCAAATTTTAGTAATTTGATTGGATAATATTAGATTGATTTTAGTGCTTAGCCAATCAAAATTGAAGTATCTACTAAAATTTGGATTTTATCTTTAGTTAAAATTTCGTGAAACAGGGCCCAGTTGTTGTCGTAAGGGGCGGTAATACTGTAATTCCCACGAAAACACTTTTTTTTATTTACAGTCTCAGTATGTGTTGTGTGTTCGTGAAGAGGGGGTGGGGGCGAGAATTTCAAAGACCGTCCCATGCCTAAGCAACACAAACTATAGCTAAGCCAATGCCCTCCTTACAGCAACACAGGCATAATTGAAAGTATAAGAACTTTTGGCGGGTTTAGGCTGTTATTTGTACATGGTTTGAATTCAAACGTCGTTTCTTTTGTTCCCGCCAGATCTTAACATACTTCACATTTACGTAAACAATTTCCTTAACACTAAACCAAAATACTAAAATACTTACATCTATCAACGGCTTCAAATCTATTACCACAATGAACGTTGATAAACTCTCGGCATCGATTCGTGACGATATCAAACAGTTGTGGGTACCTGCATTCCATAACATACGGCTCATCGTAAATATAGTCGACGGTGTTTACCGAGCTACAGTTGTAATACCAATGACAATTAATCTCATGGGGCAGTAGAAGACCCTCATTTCCCCAGCAAACACTACCTGCGAAAGACAAAAAAAGAACAAAAATGCGTAAAATAAAAGAAATATCTGCAAGAACCCTCGAATAAGGACGTACAAGCAAAAGGTGTTGAAAACTAAATTCATAAAATAAGATACCACTGCTTGAAGTCGATGGGTATTGAGTCGAGTCGAAAATGTGCATTTACATCCTAATCCGATCAAATGTTTGCAAAGGATCGATCTAAAATATGTTCAGAAAAATAACCGAAACGAAATGTGTTCGGCAAAGCAAAAAACTTGTCTTGGTCGTACCACATGTTTCTGTAAAGAAAAAAAAAATCATCTATGAAATTTGAAGGTTTATTTAACAAACAACTGAACACATGCCGACAAACAATCATTTTGAACATTTTAGAAAAACCAAATTGCAAACATAGCTTATATCAATGTGGCAATGTACTTCTATGGAATGCATAGTTTAAAGAACAACGAACGTATACCAATAAAGATTTTTCTTATTTGAATTAAGTAAAATATGGGCTGAAAGGTTTTATGTATAGGGTAATCAAGACGATAAAACAAACACATTTTATTATACACCACCCTGACATCGATGTTGATAGATAGAAATTACTTATCGTTCAGAAGTCGACAGGCGATTATAGAGATATTAAGATGTCGCCGCAAAATCAGTAGAAAGTTATCAGAATCGTAAATAGCAAGAACTTATGATTTATCGATTTAATAACATTTGAACCAATATGCTTTCTGTTTTGGATGCATTCAAACATAATAAAATGAAAGATCAGTTATTTGACAAATGAAAATTTCTACCAAACGCTGCATAGAAGGAATCCATGTGAACGACCTACCATAAGGTATTTTATTTGAGCAGAAGACAGTCACATCGGATAACACCGTAGGCAAATACTGAATTCTTAAAATGCGACATGGTTTCACTGGGCCACACAAATACCATAAAAATGGTTGTCATTACAAAAAAAACGACGGTGACACTGACAGGACGAGGTTGGTATGTTATATTAAATAAAGAGCAACCGTGGAAACCACAATTCTAAGGTTCGTTTAATTCAGATTTTCCGGCGTGGTCCCCCCTTGTCAGTGATGCAGGACGGAGGGCCTGACAAGGACAGCTGTCTAGTCCTTCGGATGATACGAAAAACCGAGGTCCAGTGTATACATTGGAATGCACGTTAATGATCCCTTGGCAGTTGGAATTCGATATAAGAGTAGGCGATAGTGCCGCTGCCCAGGCAAATTTTCCCTCATAGCACACTGTATGGCGTATGCCCGTCTTCATTAGCCCAGTTTAGGAGCAGAACAGTAGGACGTTAAACCCCATTTCAATTCATTTCATTTCCGTCAGTTACCCTTAGCAACCCGACATTTGATTAGCTTCAGACCAGAAGTATAAGAAATGGAATGAAATGGGGTTTAACGTCCTACTGTTCTGCTCCGATTGGGCTAATGAAGACGCCGCCGCCACGGCCTACTCTTATATCGAATTCCAACGGCCAAAGGATATTTTACGTGCATGTCCCATCCGAACGACTAGACAAATGTCCTTGTCAGGCCTTCCGTCCTTCACCACTGACAGGGGAAGCCACGCCGGAAAATCCGGAGGAACTGTCTCGGCCAACAACGGGAGCGACCTCCTGGCTAGCGAGCCAGCGTCTTACTCACTTTGCAGTTATTATTACCTATGGAAGCAGAGAGTGGTAACAGAAAATATGCGATTTTCAGCTCACTGATAATTCCGATGAAGATAACTTGGTGTTGTATTAGACTTTCAATTCATAAAAAGAATTGACTGCCACGTGATCAGAAAAAAGCGATATTATTTGTTGAAATTTTTCACGTTTTTCTCACAGATTCTATAACATCTAATACCACTTCATTTTTATTTGAGAGCTTCACTAAACTAACTCTCTTTGTTGTACTACTGTCTAGTAATAGCAAGTGTACGTGCATATTATGAAGATTCTTGTTTTGGTGAAGGCGAAGATTGGCGTTTATCATCGATTACAGACTAGTTTACCCAGTTGAATCGATTAGACAATCAAACTCTCAGCAAAACAATTAAACAACGATGGATTGTATTAAGCAAAGAGTCAGTCTTCGGCTTCTCTTGTTGAATAAGTGCACCACAAATGTGTTTAGAGCAAAAATTCAAATGATACCTGATGCGATTCCATTTGTTTTATTAACAAAAATAGGCCAACTAAGCAAACATGTGTCGACTCCGTCAAAATAATCGGTAATATGTCAATGTGCGAAAACTACAGAAGTTTTGTTTGAGCAAATGAACATTAAAAGCTCTACAGAAAATAATGTCGAAAGATTTCGGTTATTACTTTTCGGATTGTTCGAGTTTTTATTTTCTAAATATATCGGATTGTTCGAGTTTTTATTTTATAAATATATCGATTCTTAGCGAGGTAGCCATGGTATGTTTTTGAAGTCCACGTAAATCAAAAATCTAAGAATTTATTTTTACTGTTTGTCTTTGCAAAACAATAATTGGCGGGAGAAATTCACATATCCACAACATCCCTACCATTTGCCTTTTTGTTATCTGTTAAAATACAGTACATATTTCATTATTCATTATTCATTTCAATTATTGTCCTGCCCGGTACCAACCAGTTTTAGCCTTTCCTTCGGTCATCTACCGTAATCTTCCTTTGTTAAGGTATTATTGGAATTGCGACTAAACTCCATATAATTGACTGGCTTAAAGCCTGAATACTGCTCGGTGGGGGTGGGGGCTGTTTAGTCCCAATTATCCAGTGATACGAAGGGTGACGAGCAAGTATTTGCTACTTGACATGGTTCTATAGGAGATTGAAATTAATGTGGTCAGGGGCCTGTTTCACCAAATTTTAACTAAGATAAAATCCAAATTTTAGAAATTTAAATGGATAATATTAGATTGATTTTAGTGCTTAGCCAATCAAAATTGAAGTATATACTAAAATTTGGATTTTATCTTTAGTTGAAATTTCGTGAAACAGGCCCCTGGGCTGTTCAGTCTCGACCACCAAGTCACACGGAGGCCAGAAAGCGGTAGCAGACAATGAAGCATTTGGTGTTTGACCCAAGACAGGTTGAAGAAAGTCAGTCCTCTTCTTATGGTCTTTAGAAATCAATGGAATTAGCCATCCGTCTACGTTTGGGTTTGTCCGACCTCGATCATCCTGGGAGGAACTTTATCGATCATATTTTTGAGCTATAATTAGCCGGGAATGACAGTCGACAGGGGAGAGGAATGTTTGTATGTCGTTTTGCACCAACAAATCTTCTGCCTAATCAAATTGCAACCAGTGAAAAATGTGTACCCGGACATATTTCTAGAGACAACCATTTGACTTCTTATATTTGACATAGAGACATAAATACCTAACTAGAGTTACGTGGATGTTCTGAAAGCGGCCATGCGCAGATGACAAAATAAAGTTTCCCACTGGAACTACACGCGAGGTCATCTGCTCTCTCTCTCTCTTTCTCTCTAGTTCAGCTAGATCTTTTCTCGGTTATTAGAGAGAGATGGGGTTTCTCGTCCACTCGGCACAAACTTTGTCATTTCGGGACAAACATATGGTTCAATTTTATTTCAATAATTCGCTTGCGCGTAGAGGTCTTTAGTAGTGGAAGGAAACCGGAGGATCCGGAGAAAACCGACGAGGTTGGTCTCGGCTATTAACACAGACTGTAACTTACTTTCAAATTTAATTTATGGAATTTCTAAGCACTATTGTCTAGCGGAACCTTCTGCGTCGTAATCATTAAAGAAAATACATTGATCAATATCATTTGATCATACAGAATCAATTCCAAAAATAGTGTCAATCGAGTGAAAAGGGGGAATTTCGGTGCACAACGCAATTGCCGACTGCATAAAATATCTCAACCAATCATGACAACTGAAACATATTTGTTACTTAAAATACGTCACGATTCTACTCACATCACCTCAGCTGTCGGGACTGCCAGAACTGTGACAGGGCTGAATTCCGTATCACTTGATTGCAATTCTGTAAATTCGGGACGTTCCGCACTGACAATCGAGCACGCCCAGTATCAGTTGGCGGATCACGTCCATATTATAAATATCACATAATCTTTCCAGTTGATATCATTTTAAAACATTTTAAACGAACCATTTAAACATTGAAGCATTCATAAACCAGCGCTTTACTCGATTTTGTTAAAGTTTTTTTTTTTAAATTTTGGGGAGGTGTGATTTTTTGATAGTTGGTATAATTTTGGATCTGGTTTTAATTTTCAGAAAAATTATTGTCCTGCTATACATTGATTTAAACAGGTTTTGGTATAATGTTTACTAAAGTCATGATCAAAATTCCCTTCCTGCAAGAAGGAGCGGGTGGTCATGTCCTGAAATCCTACGGCAAAGTTGGCTTTAATTGTTTAAGCCCTAGCGGACCAATTGTCCGAGAAGCTAAAATCCAGTATACACAGACATACAAACATAGAACTGTAAATACAATATTCCAGGCTTCCGTTCTATCATTTTGATATTTCAAGTTTTTGTATGAATGTTGCTAAAACTTACAAAAAACAATCTATTGCATTTTCGATGTTTGTTTTTTCCAGAACGTTCCAACTAAACTAACTGATATCTAAATTTTCCTTAAAGGTAAACCTTTTATCATATTCACTAATTTAAAAATGTCGAAGTCGGATGAAGGTCAAAATAAGTTTGTTCGTTGGTTGAACACTGTCTTTTGCATGTATAAAATCCAGTAATTCGTTCACAAATCTATTTCTCCATTTGATTAGATTCGACTGAGCGGACCAAGATATCAATTATCGCACATAACAGGGTATACACCTAATATCATTTCTCATTTGAGATACTGACATGGGTAAAATAATTACTATAACAAATCTAAATTACAAATAATCACACGAAGGAAATATTATCGGTATACGTTCACCTGTCTTATTTTGACGATGTTAGTTAGTACCGGGTTCGACAGGGGTTTTGCCGTCTGGTTTTATCTTGTCATTGGTACAGGACTCGGGTTCTGATAGGACAAAGCGTACGTTTTTTTTTCTGGTAGGAGAAAATCAGCGGCCCAGTGATTGTTTTACTGTACCAAATACATCAATAATAAAACCATGTGCAAAGTTTTGTGTTTCTGGATCAAATATATTTCTCATTAAGTCTGATAATGCTTTGTGAACTTGGGCCCGGGTTGTGCAGAAAGGTAAAACGTTAAACACCATCTCAGTTTGTATTCGTTTTACGTATGTCTGTCTATACTTTAGATGTCTTGTGAGTTCTTTATACGGCTAGCCAAATAATGTATTCTTTATTATATATAAGGAAGATTACAGAGAAAATATGAAACATTTAGAGCACAGTTCGCCATGACGTTATTTTTTTTTCTTTTACAGAACAGTGTCTGGAGAGTTTTTCTTAAACAATGCATCGATATGTGTATTACCAAAATTCAAATATCTCCCATTGTTCGTTTTAGATCCTAAAGCTTGTGAACGCTAAACAAAACGAAGATATCCATGGGAATTGCTGTAGACCTAGGTTGAGATGTTGACTCACTAAACTGTAGGTCCCGTGTTCCATCCCGGTGTTGGGCGAAGAAGCTAATCGGGACTTTCTAGCGTGGTTTCTCCTTTTCAGTGCTGCAGGACGGCGGTCCTGTCATGGGACAATGGATGTCGAGGTCCCTATACACATTGGTGTACACGTAAGAGAGCCCTTGACGGTTGGAATTGTAAATAAGAGTACCGCTGTCCGTGCACAATGTCCCTCATAGTACACTGTAAGGTGTATGCCCGTCTACATTAGCCCAGTCGGAACAAAACAGTAGGACGTTAAACCCGTTCCATTTCATTTCATCGTGTAAAAAGACAAAGATACCCATGGGAGTTGCTGTACACCTGGGTCGTATTGATTAATCGTGCAATAGAATCAACTCCTACAGTCAATTTAAAAAATATGCCCACGGTTATGTTTAGTTGTTTAGACATTGTGAAATAGCGGTGAAAGAGTTTTTTGGATGGCACTATTTCGGTGTTGGTGGGATTATTCATTATATCAATAGAAACATCCTTGCTGACGCTAGAAATTTTCGATTGCGAATTCCGAAGTTGACTTTCTGTTTCCGATATGGCGGTTAGATAGAGGCGCATTTTAAAGTCAAAGCCGGATAGTTCAGTTTGTTTTAAAATTGCTCCAGGCTGCGTTGTGCTGGTAGACTCGCCTTTTTAATTTTTTAAATGTCTTGTGATCAAAAACAGAGTATACGTTGAATGTTTTGTGTGCATGAACAGATTGAATAATATTTTATCGACTTTATAATGATAAACGGTTGTTCAGCTATCACAGCATTAGTTTACGACGAAGATTACAGTCTAGCCTTATCGACATTCAGACAGTTAGAACTTTAGACTTAGATTTCTGTAAAACTAAAATTTCATTCATTTTATTTTGCTTTCCGAGAGCCGCTATGGCTCAGTGAATAAGACGCTGGCTTGCTAACCTGGAGGCCCAGTATTCGATCCCGGTGTTATCGGAAATGGGGTTTAACGTCCACTCGACACAAATTAAATCATTTCGGGATTAACACATGGTTCAATTTTATTTTAATAATTTACTTCCGCGTAGGGGCCTTTATCAGTGGGAGGAAACCAGGGGACCCGGAGAAAACCCACGAGGTTGGACAGGCGACCCTACACCTTGTCACGTACAACCGGGGAATGGAAACAACGCCAGTTGATTCAATGACAGACCTTACGATACACGTGCTAACCATTCGGCCATCGAACCCCGCATGTGTTAATCGGGACTTCCCGGCGTGGTTTCTAGCAAGGGGCAACGTATCGTCGTTCGGATGGGACGAAAACGGGGGTCCCTGTATACATTGCCGTACACGTAAATGAGACCTTGACATTTGGAAATCTAAATAAGAATAGACACTAGTGTCGCGGTCCGGGTAAAATTTCCCTCATAGCACAATGTGTGGCGTATGCCCGTCTTCATTACCCCAGTTGGTGTTGACTAATAGGACGTAAAATCCCATTTCATTTCACTTTTTTGCCTTCCTGTATATTGCTAGCTTCAGATAATCAACAATTTCTGAGATAAAACTAAAACTCATTCCGATATATTAGATTGATTTAGATAAATTTTAAATTTCCGGGTATTCTTGTACTTACCTTGGTCAAATTTAATGTCTTCATCTCCTAAATTTCTATTGATGCTGTTGGATGTTGTCCCTGCATGATAATTATGTGTAGAGCTAGTAGGTAAGGTCGTTACTGTTGTCGTTCTCGTTCTCGTTAATTCCGTAGGTCGTGTGCTGTATTTTGTTTCTTGCACTTTCATCCATTTTTTAGACGCTTTCTCGTCATGCCGCTTTCCGTTCGGTTCCGTTAGATTTACCTTTAAACTGTCCATAGTTGTTGTCGTGAAACGAACGTACGGAGATTTTGACTTTTTCAGATGTTCGTTGCGTTTAGGTTTGGTCGTAAGTGGTTTGGTAGGGACCGTGGTTGTTTTTAATGAGACCGTCATGCTTTTTTTCGTATCTACTGCAATTAATAAATCGTCGATTTCATTTTCGTGTTTTAATTTTGGGTTCCATTTTTTCGGTAACGGGATTCTGTTAACCGAACAGTCGTCCCATCTAGAACCTTCCGGAACACAATTTCTGGCATCATTTCCCCAAACTTGACCCATAGGACATCCAGGCATGGTCAGGGGTTTTCCAAAATGGCAGATGAAATATTTGGAACATTCTGCTGGATCTCGAACCCACTGAATAGCAACAGCATCCGGGCAGGGATATTCCGCGCTTTTGGAGTGCGTTAATCCTGGCATTAACATAACAGCTATAGCTATTAGCAGCCAATGATGAAATCCTCGAAGATACATGAAAACGACTCTTGAACAATTATCAGTTTAAAATAAAATGTCTCGAAGGTTTCAATTTTTTAATAAAAATTAAAAATAACCTTTAAAATGTCATTAGAACACAAATTTCTTAATATATTTCCTCGAGTTTTTAGAATTAAACTGTTTCAAAACTTCTTTGAAAAAATAAACCCAAGTAAAAGTATCCCTAAAATCAGCACCAGATTCTGGATTCCTCAAACGACGTCAGAATACTTCTGGAATTAGTTTCAGCGAGAGATCTCCAAATCACGACACCTACTTCTAGAGACGTTCGTTCACGACACCGATTAAGACAAGACTGATTCGGTCTTCGTCTCCAAGTGCTCAGGTAAGAAAGATACACGCGATTGATTGCCAAAATTGCCTGTCCTGTCAACAAAGATTTGGGGTACGTTACAGCCGGTTTGTTTGAGTGTTATCGATCATCGCGCGATATCTCAGATTCTGATTACTCTGAATACGCCGATAATCTCACGGTAAATACCTAGTAATCACAGATGACATTTTGTTACGGTGTTGCCAAAATCCAGGAGGGGATGAAGGAAGAAAGTATTAGAGACCTGGCAGGCCGATTGAAACAGAAAAACGTCTTTAATCTGAAAGTGATAAGACCTCGGGGTTAATTAGCACACCAGCCATAGGGTCAACACTGACCAGGTTGACAATGAAACCGGTCAGTGACTGAAAAAAATATTTTAAAAAAGTCGGCCAGATTTTCAGAAGCTTCATCCATTTTCTGGTCTTTCGTAAGCTGCGTAAAAAAATGATGGTATCTAGCCAAGATAAAGAGAGTTTTTTTATGATCAGTCTGTCTACCTTGGTTCGCAACCATGTATTTACGGTTACTCTGTTGATCTTAATGTGATAGCATCAAATAACTTATTTTATTTACGCCTTCCCGAGGATTTGTCCGGTATTTCCCTTAATGGAAATTTAAATATCTTCATTTTTAGAATTATACCAGTAGATTTTTTTTTGCATTTCAAAAGGCGCCTTAAAGTTTGTGTACATTCGTTGACATTGGTGTGGGTATACATTCACAAAATTAAAAGCTACGGAAACCGGTAAGGGACCAAGCGTACAATAAAATAGTGCGCGCAAGATATTAATTATCTTGCACAGTTACCCCCCTTGTTCACCTTACAGAATATTATGCATTGTACAAATAAGTGAGATGAACCCTTTCATTGAACCGATTTAAATTTGAAATATGTTGTACCCGCTCTATAGAGGCTAGTTTTAATTTATATGTACTGTTCAGATTAGCAAGAGCAAATGCCCTTGGTCTTTTCAGAATAACAAAATTAATGTTTGCTCTTTTCAGAGTAACAAATTAATGTTATCAAAATGTTTAAAGAAATTAAAGAGGAGAGTTCTTTCAACTGGGTCACAAAGGAAATTATTACAAAGATCTTTTTGTTTGACTACACTGTTCAACAACGTTATAGGTGTTGGATTAAACGGGAAGGGGGGGGGGGGTTATCGCGTGCCCTAGTTTGTGTCGAGTGGACGTGGAATCCCATTTCTCTCTCCTTAAAGGGAAATGTTCTTGTTGTTTATTTTTGCTTCTTGTCACAAAAGAGACAGTCAATATACATTCAGTTATACATATTTTGGCGGCTGGAACCAAATCTACCACAATTTGAAGTTTTACCAAAATGGCTGTTTAACCGTTCCTATAATGAAATAAAAGGTAATAAAATGAAATGGGGTTTAAAGTCCTGCTGTTTTGCACCAACCGGCATAATGAAGGTGGGCATGCGCCATGCAGTGTGCGATGGAGGAAAATTTGACCCAACACTGGGTTGTTCGTCCATTTCCAGGTCATCCGCCTAGCACCAACGTCTTTATAAGATTAAAGATTATTTATGGTGTCAGGTCATGATTTAACACTTTAAGTCTTCATTCTTGTTGTGGAAATCATCCAAACTCTTTATTTAACCATTGCTAGACGCTAAACTGGAGATTAACGTTTATTGCAGCTAGCATAAAGTAAATTATCGATACGCGTGTTTTAATAGCCCGGAATTCAATGAAAAAGAAGGAAATTATTGGCGGTCCGAGCTCATCGGTGACACGTTGTATACGTTTCACCAAAAAATATAAGAAAAACTTTTGTCAACGACACAAGTTGTTTGGGTGATAGCGTAATTAACCAATAAAATCTATTTATCTAAAACATACACCAGGGCCACCTACAGTTTTCACAAGGAAATGCTGAATTGATGGGGACGTAACCAAAAGATATTTCTATGACCTTCAAGTAATGTCGAATTATTGCAGTTATAAGGGAATCCCGCAATGAACAATATAATCTAGGCCAAAACAGGCAATTGAATGATAGTGGTGTGTTGTATTCATATCAACACCACATTGGATGAAATGGAAGGTTAACAAATTGTTTCAAACATTCGTTACATTGCAATCTAGAGTTCCCTTGATCCGCACTTTTGGCTATTCTTGACGCTAAGTTAAATTTCATTTTTCGATGCACGCATGAGTTTTGCTGAAATAAGAATGTTTTAATTTGAAAGTGGTTTTCAACGAGGTTAGATAATTAGACGATTATAGTATTTCTATTTCAGTTTTAAAGGTAATCATGAAATCTAAAGACACCAGGCCCCAAGTTCACAAAACATTCTCAAACGTAAGTTAAGAATTTAGTCCGTATTTTAACTAAAATATAGCCCTTTAATGTACCAAATACATCAATAAGAAACTATGTGCAAAGTTTTGTGTTCCGGGATCAGAGATATTTCTCATAAACAGTGATTGAAAGTTGAGTAAATTCTTAACTTAAATCTACGAATGTTTTCTTAATATTTCTCATAAACAGTGATTGAAAGTTGAGTAAATTCTTAACTTAAATCTACGAATGTTTTCTTAATAAAAGTGACAATATCTCTTTAATGCCCCTAATCCGACATTTTGAAAATATATACGAAGCAGTGCATCCTTACTGATCATTTTTAGTGTCGACGTTTCGTATTTTGAATAACGATTCGCGATTAGATCCTGTCGTTGTCCATTATTCAATGGAATACCTGAGTGAAGTCAATGCAATGCTTGGTATTTTTTGTGAACTGCGAGGTTGGTGGTAAAGTTTAGATTGTGTAATGATTATTGATGGATGGATGTCAATCTGTTCTGCCAGTGTCCCCACCACACTTCCTATTGACATATCATTCAATACTCGCTTGTTGTACTCACTTTAACATGGTTGCCAGACACGTGATTTACACAGGCTTAAAACGGTTAGATCTATTTGCTAAGGCCAACTTCAAGTTTGGTCAAAGGTCACGAGATGTAAACAGGGCTAGCGCTAATCCCAACCAGAACCCTAGCCCTGAACCTAGCCCTAATGTTTACCCCAACCCTAGCGCGTGCCCTAACCTTATTTACATCTCAGCGACATTGACGAAAATTGAGCTAGCCTTAACAAATAGATTTAGCCGGCTTAAAACATATCTTTTTTGGCCGCTTATATCGTCCAAAAATATATAAACAACATGATCGAAAAGAGAGGATATCAGCAAAAACATGCTATCACTGAATTGTTTATTTCGTTCAGAAAAAAATCAACATTTTTAAATATAAAAAGTCGTTGTTGAGAGATGAAAAAATATTAGACAAATATCGAATTTTTGGCAATCATCAACACAATTGCACAATGCAGAAATACCAAACTTGTTGGAGTTGTCATCTTAGTCTTCAAAGATATTTGATGAAAAGCACGCGCCGTTTGTATGGGCTCAGCTATTTGAACTTCCATGAAGGCTAGTAGTGGAAGTGGTACCGTGCCTTCTAGAAAAACTAACCGATATGCTACATGTTAACAGCTTAGGGGAAATTTTTTAGACTAAGAACGGTCAGATTAGATTAACTGCTAATTCAAGTTAAAATATTTAGACTGGGTCAAAAGATTTAGATTGACTTGGTAAAACGTTAAATTTAGGTTAAAAGAATTATAAGTGCATTATAAAAGAATTAGTTTAGGTTAAACGAATTGGTTTAGGTTTAGGTTAAGCACATTAGTTTAGGTTTTGGTTAAACAAATTAGTTAGTTTAGGTTTTGGTTAAACAAATTAGTTTAAACAAATTAGTTTAGGTTAAACAAATTAGTTTAGGTTAAATAAATTAGTTTAGGTTCAACTAAAGAATTTAAGATAATCGAAAGAATTTATGCTAAACGAATGAATATAGATTAAACGAATGAATTCAGATTAAACGAATGAATTTAGATTAAACGAATTTATATTAAACGAATGAATTTATATTAAACGAATGAATTCAGATTAAACGAATGAATTTAGATTAAACGAATGAATTTATATTAAACGAATGAATTCAGATTAAACGAATGAATTTAGATTAAACGAATTTAGATTAAACGAATGAATTTATATTAAACGAATGAATTCAGATTAAACGAATGAATTTAGATTAAAAGAATGAATTCAGATTAAAAGAATGAATTTAGATTAAACGGGTGCATTTATATTAAACGAATTTAGATTAAACGAATGAATTTAGATTAAACGGGTGCATTTATATTAAACGAATTTAGATTAAACGAATGAATTTAGATTAAACGAATTAATTTTGATTAAACGAATGAATTTAGATTAAACGAATGAATTCAGATTAAACGAATTAGGTAAAACGAATGAATTAGGTTAAAACATTTAGTTTCCATTATGATTCCGACAAACATTCGTTTTGGGTTGAAACATTTATATTTGGACTAAAAGTATTTTGATTCTGTTAGAAACAGTTTAACTTAAGAATAAACCATGTGGCTGATGTCAAAGCATTTGTATAAAGCATTCGAGTAAATATACAAAATATAAAATCCGTTGTAAGTATTAAGAAAAACTTTTACCTTAGTTTAAGTTTAAGGGGGTAACTTTGGCCGTTTTTAATAAAAAACATCTAGGCTATATCTTTGGCTATATTTTAAAAAAAGAGCCATGACTATGTTGGGGGTTTTTTTTATCCCGCGGCGATCGAAGTAAGGGAGGGATATTGAAATGGGGTCCGTCCGTCCATCCGTGTGTCCGTCTCCATTTCGTTTCCGGCATATCAAATAAACCGTTCCAGATATATTTCTGAAACTTTGTACACGAATCATCCTATTACAGAAAGTGTGCCTTTTGCTATATAGGAATTTCTGGGATTTATATTTTTTGTTTTTCCATGGAAACAAATTTAACTTGGTTTTGGGTGTATAATTTTGTTTTCGGAGCATATCTCATAAACCGTTCAAGATATCTTTTTGAAATTTTGTTCACAAATCAACCCATTAAAGTAGTTGTG